CCTCCCCCGCCACACCCCACCCCAACTTTTCATATTGTCGCGCGGCGCGCAGGAGAGTCGTAACTGACCTGCGACACGCTGCCTCTCTCACCCCTCTCACTGCCTCCCTCTCCCTCTATCTCCACGGCCACACCACAACACACTATTAGCGCATAAAATATTACACCGACACACATCAGCACGTATTCGCCTGCTGTCCATGCTACCCTCTCCAGGCAGTATGTTCCATTACGGTTATGATCCAACCCTTCTGTTGAATTTAATTCGTCTTCCATCTCGTGAGTTACATTGCACAGCCCAGACGGGCGCGCCCACACCCACACAATGCTGCCAAGCAGGAGGAACATTAGAGCACCAGACATCATCGTATGTCCAAGGTTTGATCACTATTAAAACAGTTTTTGGTTGCCATGCCCTTTTTATGATTTTGGTTGGGGCTGTACACCTCCGCTCCGCACCTCCGCGCCGCAGGAAGGTGGCGAGCGGAGGCCCCCCTAGGCTGCCCCTCAGCCCCCTCCCCCACACGAGCTCCGGCGCGCCCACATCGCTTCGCCTCCGGATCGGATTAGCCTCCGCTCTCCTTCCCACTCGCTCGGCCCTTTTTCCGATGATGGCAAGGTCAAGATTCTCTCTGAGTGACAACAGCGGATTTGCTCGCCTCTTTTGCACCGGCGGCATCGCCTTTAATCATCACGCATTTTAATCTCGCGCTCCAAACAAGATCAGGTGGGCAAGCACAGATGAGTTAGCAAAAACAAAATTCTACTTTTAAAATTTATTTTATTTTGCTCATGATATCACATAATACATACACACAATTTATACATGATGCACCGTTACATACTGCCTTACTATTTTTCGACGCTCCTCCACACTTTTCTCGCTCTCAGCTACATCAACCAAGGTACTGATGATTTCTTTTTGACGAAAAGCCAAATCTAACCAGCTTTCTTTATCAAACAGCACGCTTGGCTCACCACAGCATCCAGTGTGTACCACGCGGATCAACGGTATGTGCAACATACGCTTAAAATACACTGTATGATTATCGCCCATTGCCACGGAAGAAGCGCGGGGGCGGTAAGACTTACTGCACATATGCCTCATAATTTCTAACAAATCTTTTTTATGATACAAGAATATGTCTTTCAAATCTTCATAGTCATACGTCACGTCACTCAAAGTTCCATGGACACGGACACATGCCCGCCCGTCATCACTTTTCAGGACGTCCAACTCAAGACTTCGACTCAAAATAAAGTTTTCAACAAGGGTTAACATGACTGTTTTGCGGAGCACAACTCGACGCAACAACTCAGCAGAACAACTGCGATGCGACTGTGATGGACCCCCTGCAGAGCAAGCCCTTTTATCCCTCCAACCATTGTGTCTGTCCGTATGGCCGTCCGACGGGCGCAGCCTCCCCCACCATTGCATAACATCAGACTCGGGCGAGCGTACCCCCTCTCCGTCTTTCAAATCCGGCGCCGAGCCGGGCCGGCCGGGGCCCGGGCCGAGCCCGAGCCGAGCGGTGCCGAGCGGAGCCGAGCGGAGCCGAACCGCCCGAGCACCGCCGCGCCAGCGGAACAATACCCCGTCAGGTCGCCATCCTCCCTATACCTGACTCGTAGTCTAGGGGTTAGCTGACTCGTCCCGTAAGCCCATGACTGCGGGTTCGATTCCATTCTCCGGCAAAAGCATTTTTGGCTGTGACGTCACAACAAGATTGCCATCTCCAGCACCGCGACCAAGTGCCCTGTGCTCTGAGGCCAGGTGCCCTGACCGTCCTTTGCTCCCCCCTCCCAAGCCGCGACCAAGTGCCCTGAGGCAGCCGCGACCAGGTGCCCTGACCGTCCTTTGCTCCCCCCTCCCAAGCCGCGACCAAGTGCCCGCGACCAGGTTCCCCTTATACTACTGGTCTGTGAATTATTGCCTGATCCGAAATAAGCGTGTGCACCTAATTCGGATCAAATGAAACTAATAATTAAGAAACCAAGCAGCAATACACTCGGCAGTAGTGTTTAAGTAGAATAAGTGGAAAAGACGAGTAAACGTCATATTCTTGATCTGCTGGAATGCCCATTGCGGGAGATCGAGATTATGTAAGTGAAAATGCAGTGAAACTGGCAAACATGGTCCCGGACTGTCCTGGATGACCAAGTATGGATCTTAAAGCAACCTTTTGAAATAATTTGTGACAAAACAAAGTAATAGTGAGCACCAAAACAGTTTCAACCACTAGTAAATCGAAGCTGTTCGCAAAACTCGACTTAAGAAGTTGAGACTTTTAATTCATTTTAACCTCTACCCGCGTTTTAACCTGACATGATATTAGATGGAATCCACGTTTGAAACGTGTTCTCTGGGCCTTCAACTAAAGATTGATACCTGGGTTGACGCGAAATTATGCATACATACGAAGTAATGTCAATTTGATTAAACCACAACATTCTCCCACCTCCTAAACAATGAATGTTCGTTTTCAATTCGGCCGCGCGGGCCGCTTGGGCCACACTAGGACGAAGCGATGGTATTTTCTGGTAGCAAACGACAAACCTTTTCACAAAAAAAAAAATTAAAACCCATACATTTTAGCGAGGGAGCGTGTGAAGGTCTTATTGATCCGAAATAGGTTCATTCGCTCTAAATCATATTCTCAGGATGCAAATAAAATGACCCTGAGATTTTGCTTTTAACTTTTATTCTTCATGACATTGGAACTCTTAGTGTTCAATGTCATTACCTTTGAGGTGGGCTTCATAACCTACTAGGTTAGCAACTTTCCAAAAACGCTCCCTTTGAAGGTGTCTAAGACTCTGCCAGTGTTGGTGAACAGGATGGTGGGGGTTGTTGAACAAAGTGCAATCATTTCAACACGTTTATCAACCACACACTTGTTAGTAAACGACTCTAGCAGCATGCTATAGCTGAGTATATCAGAACTTGTGTACAACGCGAAAAGAGGGAAGGGGTGGTTGCATTATATAGTACGAGAAGTTTACTTTGTGGGATGTTTTATTGGCTGAGCTTGCGAAGCCTTTGCTGTGATGTGGGGTGCAGAGAACTCTTTGGTCGTGTGTCTTTCTGACTGTCTTTCTGTCTGTCTGTACTGGCCCACGTTTCTCTCAGACGGTAACTTCAATTGACTTCAAACTGCGCACGAAGCTTCAGTATAAGTCGAGACGTAACGAGTTTAGTTTAGAAGTTTGATATTAGATGTTTTAAATAAACGATCGTTTAATTTTAATTCGTAGTTTGGTGGCGGTAGGTTGCACGGCGCTCGAGGGGAGGGGGAGCGCAAGTGGCTCCTGCGCTCACCTGAAGACTTTGATACCTTCTCAGCAGTTATTAAAATGTCAGATCGTCAAACCGAGTGTTGTATTTTTAGTTTTAGAGCTGCGGAACTTAGCCTGCGAAGTTTCGCGAGTGTCCGATGAGACGGAACGAAAGTGATATTTGGAATGGTTTACGTGTTTACTTACGTAAGCTGGAGGGGGCGGGGGTACTGGTTTGGAAGAAATGTGCAAAGGTAACTTTTGTTTTGGATTCATCTTGACAAAAGAAAACGAAAATGTTTTATGCCCAACGATGATCGGAATCGAAATGGCAGAGTAATGTTCAAATCTTCAATAAAGTGTTTAATCGCCTCTAGCGGCCAAACGGTGCGTCGGAGGTCAGTTTCCGCCCCTACCCCACCAGGTTATCGGGTCGTATCTCGCTGAGTCAAACAAAACGCATCCCTCGTACGTTCAATTTGGACCAATTTGGCCATGGCTATCCGCCCATCGTTATTTAAGGGCTAATAACACCTCCATTT